GTTTGGGACCTGAGCCAGGTATGGGAAGGCATCTCCTCAGGCCCCTGGGACACTGACAGGACCCCCAGTGTTAAGGGCCCACCTTCCAAGCCCTCCCACCCCGCTGGGCCCATGGCTGCCTGCTGTCTGCCTCTCCTCTAAGCAGCAGCAGCGCAGTGAGAAGACACCAGGCAGGTGGGCACAGGGAGTGCACTGAAGGGCTTTTCACATGGAGCCCAGGCCCAGGGGCACAAAGGGCTCAGCTCTGTAAGTACCAGGTGTCATGCTGGAGTGGGAGTGCCAGGGAAATGGCAGGTCTGGCTGGGGACACATAGATGTGTCCACAAGTCTGCCCAGGGCCCCACAGCCTCACAGGTGCACACTAGTCACAACTGAGTCACTAGTCACATTTCCACACATGTCCAAACACGTTCACAGGGTTATCCACTCATGCCATGAAGTGAAGGCACCCACACATGTGTACACACGCCCAGTGTGGCCACACTCACAGCACACAGACAGACACCGTGTGTGTTCACATTTATGTGGTAACAGGCAAATAGTGACACCCAAACATGCTTCTCTCTCTCTCTCTCTCTCTCTCTCTCTCTCTCACACACACACACACACACACACACACATGCATATGAGTATACCCTTACTCCTCCCTTAACCCCTCCAGCCGGTTCCAGCCAAGCGCTGGGATCTCTCCCATCTCTCTAGCCTCAGCCACCTCTTCTGGAGAGTGGAATGAAGCTGGTGGAAACAGGGCTGGGCCTGAACTCAGAGAAGAGAGTGAGCTCAGCTCAACCACCTTTGTCAACCCCCAGGGAAGGGGAATCCTGGACCTGTGCCCAGGTGGTGGTCAGAGTCCCAATGCCCAGGGCTATAGTGGGAAGCGGGGCTAGAGGCCAAGATATTGTCTCTGCTCCTCAGGGGGAGCCTAAGGAGAAATGGAGCCTTGGCCAAGGAGCCTGGTGGCTGTGGCAGCCCACCCTCCCTAGGACCCTCCCCATCAGGGCAAGAAATGTCACTCCACAAACCACCCACGACGCGAGACATCCCTCATTCTAATCCTAGGCCCCTCCAAGCACTGCCCACCCCTCCAGATCCCTCCTGTTCCCTCATCTACCCAGCTGCCCCCAATCACACACCAATCTCCAGGGGTCATGGCACATAAGAAACCACAGGTGTGTAGAGTTCATAGTCTTCACTCTAAAGTACATACCCACACAAGAAACAAAGGCAAACACACCCAGAAGTCCTGCAATCTCCACGCAGACTCCAGACATACATATTATGGCTCTGGCCTGTGCCAGTTCTGGGGGCCTGGCAGGTCCCAGACACAAGGCTGGAAGGAGGGTGCTACAGCGGCAGAGGTGGAAGGGAGTTGCCCCTGCCTGGCCTGAGCCCCAGGACTCCTGAGAGGACTTCAGGCCCTAGCTCCTAACTAGCTGCCCAAGTTTCCGCCGCCCTCATCCAATGGTAGTCATTCCCTATCAACCCCTGAGAGCCCTAGCTGGTGTCCTGACAGGCCTAAGGCAGCCTCCAGCCACCAGCCCCTTGTGCACCCAGCCTCATGGCCATGGCAGGCATCCCATTTGCCTGAGCTCTAAGTTTCCATTTTTCCTTAATTAACCCCTTCTCCCGAACACCTCCACTCCACCCAGTGTCTGGCAGGCATGCTTTTGCCAGCCTGTGGCTGCAATGCCAGCTTCCCCCTCCCCAGGTGACAGAGCACAAATCTCTGTTCCATCCCACCTGCACTGCTGCAAGATTTATCCACCCAGAAAACTCCTACTCACCCACCAAGACCCTGCTCAGGTGTCCCTCTTCTAGAAAGCCTGTGAGGCAGAGCTCTGGCTTCCCCCAGCCACTCCCATCTCTCTGTCCTACCTGGAACTGCCCAGGTGCTTGTCTCTCCCAGACTGACAAGGACCAACACTATGCCCACAGTGTGGCTGGGTGCAGGGAGAGCACTGGTGACGGTTTGCTGGTGACAAAAGCCCGGAGACTGGGTGGCGAGCCCCCACTTCCTCTTTAGCCTACATCTTCCTCCTATAGACTGTGCCTGGTACCAATCACCTATGCTCTGTCTCCCCCTCTGGAGAAGGCCAACCCCAAGAGGGAGGGATTGGGGGCTTTTTGTTCACTGCTGTATCCCCAGTGCCTTGCTCAGTGTTTAGCCTGTGCTCAGTGTTTAGCCTGTGCTTATAGAATGAATGACGAATGAGCAAATGAATTAATGAGTGAGTGAATGAATGAATGAATGAACAAATGAATGAACGCATACATGCACAAGCCAAGATGTCTGCAGGCTAACAAGCTAGAGTCAGAATTTGAGATACTTGAGATCAGGGAAAACAGGGACCCTAGGGTAGAACCTGGGGAGTAGAAAGTCCCCACATTTCCTCAGGTCATGTGGACACTTATGGTCAATTCAGAAGGGTCCTCATCTTGTGAGGGGCAGGTCTTAGGCATCATCTTGGCCCTCTATGCTTCCAAACAGAGAAATGGGGGGTCTAGAGAAGCAGCAGCCAGGCTGTGGCCCAGGGCCCTCACATCTTATTTGCTTGGGAGGGGTCCTCACCCCTCGGAAGCTCCATCTTGGCCATTCTGGCCACAGCACAGTGGCCTCCCTGAGCCGCACCCACCCCTCCATCCCACTGCTGGCTGCTCCCACTCACCGAGGCTGAAGAGGATGAGGAACTTGAGGCAGACAAACTCCTGGCGGTCCAGCTGCAGTGCGTGCAGCTGCAGCACCAGCTCCTGCGCCCGCAGCACCAGGTTGTGCAGCAGGGAGCCCGCCTGAGCAGCCACAGTGGTCAGCTCCACCTGGGCAGACAGAGGGATGGGTCAGGACAGCGAGGAGGGGCTCGGATCAAAGGGCAGGAATCTGACCAGGGACAAAGGGGTGTGGATCGGAGGCACCGGTTAGTGGGTAGGGTCTAGTGTGCCTCCCAGTTTGGGACCTGAGCCAGGTATGGGAAGGCATCTCCTCAGGCCCCTGGGACACTGACAGGACCCCCAGTGTTAAGGGCCCACCTTCCAAGCCCTCCCACCCCGCTGGGCCCATGGCTGCCTGCTGTCTGCCTCTCCTCTAAGCAGCAGCAGCGCAGTGAGAAGACACCAGGCAGGTGGGCACAGGGAGTGCACTGAAGGGCTTTTCACATGGAGCCCAGGCCCAGGGGCACAAAGGGCTCAGCTCTGTAAGTACCAGGTGTCATGCTGGAGTGGGAGTGCCAGGGAAATGGCAGGTCTGGCTGGGGACACATAGATGTGTCCACAAGTCTGCCCAGGGCCCCACAGCCTCACAGGTGCACACTAGTCACAACTGAGTCACTAGTCACATTTCCACACATGTCCAAACACGTTCACAGGGTTATCCACTCATGCCATGAAGTGAAGGCACCCACACATGTGTACACACGCCCAGTATGGCCACACTCACAGCACACAGACAGACACCGTGTGTGTTCACATTTATGTGGTAACAGGCAAATAGTGACACCCAAACACCTATGGGTTTGGAGATGTTTGCACAATAAAATACAGGTGTGCGTACACACACACATACAAACACATGGCATTCCCAAGGACACAGAGAGATGAGCTGACACGTCTCAGACTGGTGTTTCCACTCACAGGTAACCCCAAAGTCACCCTCTGCAGACCAGTTTTTCAATCCTTCTGCCCCTACCAAGGCCTGAGACTCCAGGATGAGGACTGAAGATGGGGACAGAGGACTGAAGATAGGGGGAGGCAGGGGTGGGAAGCAGAGCCTTGGTCTCCACCTGCTCCACAGGACCCATCAGCCCACCCTGGGGTGACACTGCTACCACCAGACTAGACCCAGGCATTGCCTCCCTTCTCCCTGTCTCTCCTCTCCTATAGCTCCTCTCCCTAGTTGGGGTCCTCTTCCTTGTCTGTGCCCCCACTTTCTCCCTGCCATTCAGCTCACCGCTGCTTCCTCAAATACAGCCCACCCATCCCCTTCCACTTAGAGCTGCTGTCCCTATCCCACTCTACTCCAGGAACCTCCACTCCCCCCTGCCCATCCTTCATTCCTAATTCCCTGTTCTAAGGGGCCCAAATTCTGACTGAGCTCTTCGGAACCCTTTACCGGTTTGTCATTCAGGATTGGGGACCTTCAAGGTCTTGCCTGCTAACCCAGCCCCAGCACCCTCCAGCTTCGTCTCTCATGCACCAGCAACATTAGGGACTCAGCAGTCTGACCGTCCCCCCCACCCCCACCGAAACAGTACCCTCTGTCCCACCCTGCGCACTGCCCCTCCATCAGCTTTCACCACGCAGTCACCTCCACTTCACTCTGCAGAGACCAGTTCCACCATCCATCACCTCCTCTGGAGCCTTCCCGGACCATCCCCACACCCCCTGAGCTGCTCCCCCAGAGCAGGGCTCTCAGGGGCTGGCTCCTCTCAGGCCCGAGCCAGGACTGGTCAGAGAGGTCAGGCCGGGGCAGGCACAGTAGGGTCAGTCACCTCCTGCCCGGTCACCAGCAGGATGCTGCCCTCCTTGCCGTGCTGGATCTGGCGGTAGATGTGGTCGAACACCAGCAGCTCACTCCAGCAGTTCTGCAGCAGGGTCATCTGGTCGGCCACCTGGAGGGAAGAGGCACGTAGAGTCCAGCTGGGGACCTTCCTCTCATCCCTTTTCCTCCCAACTCTCAATTCAGAGACTCCTCTGGGGGTGTGACTTTGGCAAGCTACTCACCCTCTCCGTGCCACATCTGTCTACCTCTAGCAGAATAATGGGAGAGGGTCTAACCGGTGCTTGGGGCTCAGACAGGCCTGGCTTCAGGCCCCAGCTCTACCTCTTATAAGTTGTATGACCTTACACAAGTTCCATAACCTTTCTGTGCCTCAGTTTTTCTATCCATAAAGTGGGCAACATCCTTAGCAGATGGTCTGGCATATACCAAGCCCTCAGTCAGAGTCAGTGATGCGTCCAGGGAAGTGCTCCACAGAGGACGCCTTCAACTGTGAGGTAAGAGTATTATTAATTTTAATATTGTTCCCATCTGGCCTGTGCTCACCCTCCGACAAGCTCAGTCACTGAACAAGGAGCCATGGGGAAAGAACAGAGGGCTTCCCTGTTCCTGTGCAGAGCTTCCAGACTCTGGCCCACACCAGGCTCACGGAAGGAGCAGGGGAACAGCAATGGTCTGACATCTGAAGCACAGAACAGTGACGAGGGCAGACTCTGGGTGCCCAGGCTGCAGGACTGCCCCCACAGCAGAGTGTCTTCTGACTCTGGGAGACCACTGCATTCTACCATGGCAAATGCGGACTCAGAAACAGAACCAGGGACCCTGTGGCTCAAGCTCCTATCTTTCAGATGAAGAATCTGCCACCCAGTGAGGGCAAGAGGCTCTCCCCGGACTGCAGGGGCAGAGCCAGACCAGGGCCATGGCTGGGATCCCTGGTACCATCTTCACAATAACAAACTGAGCCCTCTGGGTATTTGGGACTGCACTGGCCCCTGCAGGTCTTACTAGGAAGACACAGCACAGACTTCAGTGCCCCTTGCCACATGTGGCTCCTCAGCTGCCATCTGCCCAACAGATACATCCCAGGCATCCTCCTGGGCCTTGCCCCACGGTGACAGCAGAGCATCATAGCTAACAGCACCGCTGCAGCCCTGTGTTGGTATAGTTGTTATGCACATTATGAAGAAAAGAAACTGAGCACAGGGAGGTCCAGTAACTTGCCCATGGTCACACAGCTTGCTCTGGCTTCAGATACAGGCTCTTGACCACTAGGTGTGGAAAAGACCTGCCCCTCTCTCCTTCCCATCCAGGAATTCACAGTCTCTTACAGGCTCGTTACCTCCACGAAGCCTTCCCTGATTCCTCTTCCTTCCTTGCTGCCCTCACCACCCTCTGGACCTGGAATCTGCAGCATCTGATGGCACTGATTTAATGCTTCTGTCTAGCCCGATGCCTGTGTAGTCTGGGAACGCAGGACTGACCCCAACCCAGAGCAGTGACAGACATATGCTTCCCAGGAAAGGCACAGAGAGCACAGAGAAGCCGCTCCTACCTGGAGGCAGCCACAGCCTCTGTTAAGGAACCGGCAGAATAGCTCTTTTTTAGGGGTAGAGCCCCCTCCCTCCTCCTATCTGATCCCCTTTTCTCTTGAGTGCGTCCCTGGGGCTTCTGTCCCCAGGCAGACAGAGGGAGAGAAATGCGAAGGTGGACAAAGAGAGAAGTGAGCAGCTGGACGCAGACAGGCTCTGCGAGGCCCAGGCTGCCCACCCCTTCCTCAGCTCACAAGGCAGACAGCAAGAAGGAGACCAGGTCATTACCTTCCCTGTCCCTTACCCCTGGGTCCAGCGCCCCACCTCACCCTCTTTTCCGGGCAGAATGTCCTTCCTAGAGCCCCGTCACTGTCAGAATAGAAACCCAGTCATGGAGATTCCCACACTCAGCAGAGCCTGCCCTTAAGGGGAAGGGCCAGGAGAGACTGAGAATGGGGCAAGGGCTGAATCACAAAGACATCTGTCCTTATCTCTGCTCAGGAAGTCGCCAGCCCCTATGAAGTTACCAGCAAAGCCTCCCTACCACAGCTTCCAGGAAGGAGGCAAGGCTCAGAGAGCACCTGCTACCAGACATGGTGCCCCGCACAGTCCTACGGACATGCTCCCATATAACAGATAAGGAAACAGAGGCTCCCTAAGGTAACACGCAGGCAGTGGGGACCCTGACTGGGTCCATCTATCTTCCAGGAGTTCCTGGGAACTGCCTAAGGCCCAAGTAGGAGGCACTCGCCCAGGTAGTCACAGAAGCAGCAAGAAAGACCCAGGCCCACCCTGAGTGACTCAGATGAAGGCAGAGGGGGCGGGAGGTGAGCAGGGCCAGGCTCTGTCCCCAACCCACTGCAGACCACAGGAGCAGACACCCTTGTACCCAGACTGAAGGAACAGGGGGTGGGGAGGTGGAAGAAAAGAGATAAAGGGAGAATTAGGAGATAAGCAGGCGGAGCACTGGGCAGAAAGCAGAAGGGGTCACAGTGACCTGGCTGGCCCAGTCCCGAGAGCAGACTCTGTACGCAGACCTCAGACCCTGGGATGGGGGCAGACCTGCCCAGTGGGGCTGAGAGGGGTGGCAGGGGCAGGGAGACCAATATGGTGGCTACAGCTTTGACATTGCACACTTTGAGCTGACAGAGACACTGCGCTCCAGATGCCTTCTTGGGGTTTTCATCTCTCATTCTCTTTCCCAGCTCAGATGGCCTATCCCTCTGTCTGCATTTTCCCTCTCATGAAGTCACAGCATGGGACATCGGACAGTGGCACAGAAGTTGATATCAAAGACCAAAATCAGAGTGGCCTGTTGTCAAGTTCCAACTGTGCCACTTACAAGCTGAGTGACTTCGACCAAGTGACTTAACTCCTTTGGGCCTCAGTTTCCTCATCTATAAAATGGGAGGAGTTTAAATAATATTCACCCTATAGGGTTGTTGTAAGGGTTTAGTGAGTTAGGGCCAGAACAGAAGTCAGTAGGGCCACAGCTCCCTTCCTGTCTGTCCCCTTTAATCTGCTGCTGTACCCTTTAATCTGTGCCTCACCCCTACATGCACCATGCACCCAAGTCCCACACCAGCCATGCGTTCTCCTCTGCCCTAATTTCATATTCTGTGAAATGGGAAGAATAATCTCTCCCTCTCTTGGTTAGAGAAAACATAACACAAGCTGGGTTCTGTGGGCCCACTGTTGGCTGTCCCAGGCTCCCACCTACCCCTGGCCAAGCAATCTTTCCTGCCAGTTGCAGGCACTTCTTCCTTTGGATGGACAGGTGGCCCCAGAACATTCCCCACACAGATGAGCTCATGTGTGTACACACACACACACACACACACGCACATACACACACATATACACATGCTCCTTTCTTTAAAAGAAAACCAGAGGTCTGTAGCTGCCAATCCCTCTCCACAAGAAAGCAGGTGGCTAAGAGGCTCACTTAACCAAAAGGGTTGGTTTTTACCTTCCAAAGGTTTCTTCCTAAGCTAAAGGTTTCTCCTCCTCTACCCTCAGGCCTCCCTGCCACTCGGGAACAAGGATGTTCGCAGTCCTGGCCCTTGGGCCCCATACCACAGCAGCCTGGCCTATGTGCTTGGCCCATCAGCCACCCATCCCTCTTGCTGGACTGCCATAAATCTTTTGGGGGCCTTGACGCTTTACAGCCTGCCTCCAAAGCAGGGTATTTATGGGTGCCAAGCTGATCTCTTCCAGGAGGCACCCTATAGAGCCCTCTGGGGTCTGATCAGTCTAGTGGCTGGAGGCCAGTGGGCTCTGTAATTCTCCAATGGCTGACATGGCACTTTTCTGACCAAGTGGTCAGTGAGCCATAGTTTGTCAGCCTAGGACTGACAGAGTAACTGCCGCTTAAGTGAAATGATATAAATAGTCAGTTAAATCTGTTGCCATTTGAGGGTGACCTGATGTCAAGATGGGTCATTAGGCACTTTGCTCCCTCCCCCTCCTCTGTCTTGCATCCTCCCAGCCCATCCTTCACGGTGAATGTGCTGGAGGCTGGAGGCTGACGCCTGCACTCCAGACAAGGCC